GTAACATGGCGTGCTTTGAGGTCATCTCTCATTCAACGAGTCCTTAGCTTCTTCCTGTGATGAGCGAAGACCGCGACCACCTCCAGGTCGAAGTGCAATGTGACACTCTTATCGCCATCCTGTCCGTGCCGAGCCGCAGGCGGCAGATATGGGAGCTAGACTTCGAGTGCGAGCTCGCGTCCATTGCCGAGCACGACGGCACGGAGGCTTATTCCATAGAGAGCGGCTGGCTAGAAGTTTTCGACGAAGGCCGGATCGCAGCGCTCTTACTTCCCCGTCCACCGGTCAGCGCGAAGACTTTCGTCGCACTTGCCGCATCAACGAAGCGCAAGGCGTCGGACGAGCCGCCTTCTTCCTTCGCCACGAAGCGGGTCAGGACTTCAGCAGAGCCCGCAGCTCAGACTGCAGGCTCCAGTTTACCCAAGTCAACGATCAGCCCTTCGCTCATAAGTGCGGTGGTATCGCCACCGCGTCCAATCGTGAACCCGATGTCCGTTATGCTTCATTTCATGCAGATCGTTTCGATGGGTGCTCATGCCACTCACTTTAGACCCAAAGCGAAAACGCAAGACAAGTCTACAAAGGCTAGTGCAGCCGTCCTCAACCACCCACTTCCTATCTTTCCCGTTGATACCCACTGGCACCCATTCCTCGCCCTCCCGGACCCCCACCTTGCGCCGTCACCGCCCAAGCCTATCGCACCATCGCCACCCAAGATCGCCGCGCCGTTGCCATTTAAACCCGCTGTGCCATCGCCACTTAACCCTGCCGCGCTGTCGCTATCTAGGCCCGCAGTGCCACAACCGCTCAAGCCCGTATCGCTAGCGGCTACCCGCACGTATCTGTCGCCGCTGTGCTTACCAGTACCGTATGTTCCTTCCTCCCCCTCGTTATTTTCCGACGTTAACGCACTATAGCGTCCCCGCTGCGTCACGGAGCGCCCCAGTTGTGACACAAGGTGCGCGAGCCCTCAGCACCAGCAGTGCCCTCTGGGCTCCGCTGTCGTCAAGCGTCGCTTCCCCAGCCATACAAGCCGGCGTCAAGAGGAAGGCTGGAGAAGAATCCGAGGCGGCTACACCACCGTCGCAGGCAAAGAAGCCAAAGTGGTGGTTGCAGCCAGGCGCGCTTGAACCACCGCGAAAGACGGTCGAGAGGCCGGCTGCGCAGGTCGAAACTCGGGAAGTGACGTCCAGCTCGGCGAGCCCGAAGCCGACGGTGCGTCCGCCATCCTTCTCCCTAGTTGCGTATTGTGCTAACTAGCTCCGTAGCCCCTGCTGACGAGGGCATACCAGCGGCTGGATGATGTACAGCGGGCGATCATCGCCGTGCTGCCGACGGACGCCACCAAGGCACTAACGGCGAAGGAGATCAAAGCGCTCCTTCCCGCCAGTTTCGAGGGCACGCTCTCCGGGAGCAGCATCGGGAAGGTTGGCATAAATGCCAGGAAGGGCTTGTCGGGGGCCGCGCGGTGGGTCCTGAACGAACGCTGGCTGCCGTTTAGCCCGCATGCGCATGGAGCCCCTGTGGGTAGTTTCTAGAGATGCATTGTGAGGTAACGGTGAGTCCGCTTTCTTTTATGGTGCAAGACCCGGTTTTTATTCGGACTGGCAGAGCTGGCAGCCAATTATACCCGGCTCCATCAACCCGCTTGCATTCCTTCCACCCACGCACTCCCCAGATCCGGTTCTCGCGCAATCGGGTGTCACGAAGCAACGCTAGGTTCGTTTCCCCTGCGACTGACTCAAGCACTGCTCCATGTGCTCATGAACAACCCGCCAGGTATGCGGCGCATCGCCAATGGTGCGCCTGCACTGTGGTGCAGCCGACTGTGCTGTGTCGGCGACAACGCTCCTGTACCATTCCGAGCCTGCAGGTGAGCGCGTCACCGACGGCGCTCCTGCACCTCGCTATGTGTACATTTGAACGTCTCGTTCTCGTGACTATAGTGCGAAAGCATTTCGGGCTGGCTCTGCGCTCTCGCGTATCCTGTTTCGTACCTTTCTCTCGCCTCCATCTCCATCCCGCCTCTCGCGTCCCAGTTTCATCTTTCAGTCCTTGCATGTAGTGTTTTATACTTACAACCACCGTCACCCTTCGTCCTACTTCCAGCCGAGCTTGATGTGGGTAAGTAATGAGGCAATCTAAAGCTGCTAGTATCTGGAGATGGCGTGTAAAGGGCTGAAGACCGTAGTTCAGCACACGATCACGTGCCTTTCAAGGGACCTTCGTCGTGTTCAGAACTGCGTATGGCGATAAAGCATCATACTGAGACATCTAATCAAAAGTGACAAGCCATGGTGCAATCGACGCGCGGAGCGGCCATTAAAGCAATTCGAGCTTACACTGTTATATTGACCCAAACCAGCTCTCAAGCCCCCTTATGCAATCTTTTCCCCAGTGTCATCTAGAATGTCGAACGGGACGCCGGCCATCATCGCGCCTGTCAACCGCGGCGCGGTCCCGACCGTGTCCCTCACACGTCGCGCGACCAGGGCCTGGGTGAACTGCACGCTCTGTAGGTGCTCGCAGGTGACGCGATAGCCGACGTCGAGAACGGCGATGAGCACCGCCCAGACGTCGTCCAGCGTGGGCGGAGCGACGTGAAGCATGAGGCGAGTCGCAGATGGCGGGACGTGCCGCGCGAGGAGGGCCGCGAGCGCTGTGCAGGGCGCACTGAGGGAGACGTGAGCGAGCGTCGGTGTGCTGCAGGAGAGGTGCGCAAGGAGCGAGTCGAGCTGCGCGGAAGGATAGGACGCAACGGCGAGGGCGAGATGCGTCGGCGGGCCGCAGGGATGTACCGCCCGTATGACGATCTCGGGGAAGCGTGGCGGGTACGCGTTGGGGAGCCATCCGGGGCGCGCGAGGGGAGGGCCAAGGAAATGTGGTGAGACGGAGGCAGTGCGGAGGGACGTGCACGCGCGCACGAGCGCGCCGATTTGTACGTCGGAGAAGAAAACGCGCGAGCCCTCCATGAATGCCAGTCGGCGAACGCGTGGGGCAATGTTGAGCAGCGCAGTGCAGAGCAACGTGCCGTCGAGGTGCGGCTGCATAAGCACGTCGCCCGCGTATGAGTCATCTGTGGCGAAGGAGACGATCTGCACCGACGGCAGGCGTTCAGCGATCGCTGCGAAATCAGCAAAAGACGTGATGGACTGCTCGTTTTTGTTGAGCACGAGAACGAGGTGGCGCGCCCAGAGAAACTCTCGTCCGCCCCATTCCAGCGCGTGTCGGATGCGGTGTGCAGTCTGACTGGTAACAACGAGGTATTCACGACATTGTGGAGGAAAAAGCTTTTGCAGCTGCCGATTGACTAAGCGGAGAGCAGAGAGCGTGCGCGTGTTAGTAATTATATCCGCGGCGGATACGCTGAAGATATTCGGGTGTAGCGGGTCGATTTCGGTGGGCGTCTCAATGTTCGTGAAGAAAGGTATGACAGGCGCTGCAATGTCGACGATGTCGAGCCACAGTTCGTTCGGGAGCTGCATGTCGCGTGAGCGGAGCCACGAACGTGGGGTTCATCCGGATACATACCGAGAGCATGTTGTACGGAAATTTGCACGAAAGGCGACGGCGCAGCGAACCCCGTCTGAGCTATATAACCAGTCCAGCGCCTACGCATAATGTACGTACCTTGGCGAGATATTGTCGTACAGTCGCAAGGGGGCTGCGTGGCCGCTGTCGATCTTTACATTCGGCGTTTGCGCCAGTCGGGTTCCATCAGACAGAGAGCCCTAATCCTCATGAGGATCATGTGCCTGCCTTCTCCTGTTTGGTACGCAATATACTTGGAGCGCGAGATACATTAAGTGCGCTCTTGAGACTCGAGTCTAGATAACTCGCCATGTACTCTGATGGGGTAGTAGCACTGTCCAATACATTTCCGTGAGCAAAACATAAGAGGAGAGCATTGCATCAAAGCTTACCGTAAGACTCTCGGTAACTTAAAACCGCGCAGCTTAGCCAAAACACGTTTATCATCATGTCTGTCGGCCCTCGCAGGGCATTTGGGCAGCTATGCCGTTCGGGGATCTGCGCTGGGCGTCACCCGGACCATCGCATCCATCTTTGGAGCGGCGCGCGCACAAGGTCGGGGAGGTTCGGTCTTGCGCTAATAATTCTTCTTGCGTTCGGCGATCGCGGCAACTGTAGTCGGGCGGGCATCCCCGGTACCGAGGTACGCAAGCTTGTGAAGCAGGCCTTGCTCAACTCGGGCGCGGAAAGACGAGCTGCGGCTATGGGGCGCGAGGACGGTGACACAGCCACGCATGCTCGTTATGGAGTCATCGCCGGTGGTGCTCCACGACGGGCGCCATCTTGCCCACAAACTAGCACGGTGTGCAGAATGGCGATATGCAGATCGATCCGGCTTCCGCGCGCACATTCGCCCGCGGGTACTCAAACAGGCCTGGAATCGGCAGAGGATGTTGAAATAGAGCGTACGTCAGAGCACACAAGCGGATGCTGGATCCGAACGTCTCGAGAGGTGAAGGGCAGAGCTCATGGATACGATTTTTAACGGCTACTGTCCGTTTGCAACGGAGCCGGCACTTAGATACACGAATCTTTGGGCTGCACGTCAGCACGACCGCCCGCAGCACGCCCGCGCGAACGACACACCTAAGCTACAAACGGCATCGCGCGCATCCTCGTGCGAGGCAAGGCCTGCAAGCCGATATGAGGAGGTATCGTAGCACTCTCCTCGCCATTATGCCCCTCTGCATTCACCCCAGTCTCACCCAAACCCGCGGCCTACGCCATTCAGTCGACTGACATTCTCGGACACAGCCCAGCGTGCCGTCTGGCGGCCGAGATGCTGAGCTAGTGGTCAGCAATATCGTCGAAAATGCCGGCGTAGAGAGGTCCAGGACCGTGGAGGGGGGATCAACGGGGCGACGACAGCGGGAAGGCCATGCAGGTCGCAGAAGAAGTGATCGTTGGGATGGACGTAAGAACGCGTCAGTCAAAATTCCTTATTCACATCTTGGCGCTTTCTTTCAACAGCCGTCGTGGCGCAATGGTAGCGCATCGCCTTCCTATTATAATGCAAAAGGCGGGGGTTGCGGGTTCGATCCCCGTCGGCGGTATTGTGCGTAAAAGGCCATGAGCATTTTCCCCAGGCTTATAATCCCAGTCAGCCTACACAGCAACCAGCACCTCATGCTCATCAAGGGTACTCTATTCTGCTATCTATGTAGCATCTTACAATCGTTCACATCGAAAGCGCCCGTTGCCACATCGCTCAGACCTCTCCGCTGAAGCTAGCACGCAGCGCGCGCTCGATGACCTCGCAACTTCGCTCGACGACGTCGTCCATGCGCATGCGCAGCGGCTCGAACAGCTTGAGTCCTGGCAGCGTCGGTACGCCCGTCTCAATGTTGCCGTCCTGGAAGACGTGTCAAAGAGCTGAGAGAGTAGGAAGACATGGGAGAAGGCAAGAGGACGGCGGTATGCGAGAGGATGATGGGATACAAGGGGACGGCGGGGCGCGACGGCGAGACGTACCTCGAAGAGCGCGCGGTGCGCATCGACATAGGCGGGATAGACGAGCTGGTCCCTGTTTGCAAAGTGCGCATGTTAGAGACGGGTCGACTGCGCGGCGGATGGGGATGGGAGACAGCACGGCGGAGTACGGGCGGACCGACGGGATGCGTCGGGAATGGGCGAATCGAGGAATTATCTGCGACACCCACCGCACGCCCCCACGGTGCGCCGGGCACGGGCCCATGACGTGCTCGGAGCAGGAAGGAGCGCAAAGAACAGGAAGAGACGCGCACCAGTATCCGGGCGGATCGCGCCAGAACGTGCCTTCTGGGGCGTCCAATTGTTCTCCAAGCGCGCGTATGAGCGGCGAACGAGAGACGGGGTCGGACGCGAGCGAGCAATACAACAGGCACGCCCGGGCGGGGACGAGTGGGCGACGATCAGGGCGTGAACGCGGAGCAAGGGGGGCGTTCGAACAAACGGTGGGTGCAGGTGGATGTTGGCCGAAGTGCGTGCGGTGATCGTGCGTTAGACGAGAGGAGAAGGCGGGCGGAGACGTCAGGGTTGGCGGCGGCGCGCGGAGTAAGAGGCGTACCGGCGGTCGCGTAGCCAGAACGTTCCTCGCGGCGCTGCCTGAGTGTATCGTGCGGGACGCGGAGGAAGAGCATTGCATCGAGGAGATCGACGACAGCCTGCGCGCGCTCAGTTCAGACGTCCACACCTACGACAAGGTCGGGGAAGCGCGTGTGACGCACCTTGTCCCAGTAGAGCAGGAAGCCGTCGACGAGCGCCCACACGACGCGCACGCCGTGCGCGCGCTCGGTGTCCTTCTGCACCTCCTGAAAGCGCGTGCGCCAGCGCTCCTTTATCGCAGACTCGACGGGGACGGGGACCTGTACGTTCAGGTGGTCGTGCGAAGAGTGGTCGTGCGGGATGCGCGCGGACGTCTTGACTGTGCGCAGATACGCACGCAAGCGTGGCCAGTCAAGCGCTGTCGGTGCGCTGTCCCAATCCTCGACGCCGAGGGCTGGGTGGATTGGGAGTGTTGCCTGTGGCTAGGTGGTGAGTGTGAGATTGCGTGCGCGTGGGCATGCGAGGGAGGTGCGTACGGGCGCGAAGTCCTGCGGGATACCACATTAGATAGACGGCGACGTGCGGCACGGCGTACGCACGTCCTGGTGGATGATGAAAGAGTCCGGGAGGATGTCACGCAAGTGCTTAGCGAGCGTCGTCTTGCCAGAGCACGTCGCGCCCCTGCGCGCGTGGTCAGGACGCGCGGCGCGGCGACGGACGCACGCACGCACCCGACGCCGACCAGGACGACGTGTGTGCGCGCCGCGAGCGCCTCGTCGTCGGGCGGAAGCGAGCCGTCGGGCCGTGCGAGCGGAATCGGCGCGGGCGTTGGCGGGGTGGTGGACATGCCCAAGGCTACAAGAAGAAGAGAGAGGAGGGAGAGATACAGGGAACGGAGATGTGTGCGGGGGTGAAGCTGATCTTGTAATCGCCTCGCGTGCGCTTGACTCATCGGGCCGTCCTCCGACCGTCGCCCACTGCTTTGCCTTTTACTAGTAACCGCCACTATCACAAAAGTACTAGTGGAATAAAACGGGGTGCATCCCAAGTATGGCCACGCAGCTGCACTAGAGTCTCAAAGTTGGCGAAATACTACGGTGTATCTGGATCCGTATCTCAGCAGTGATGCGCAGTCAACACACTAGTTGGGAACTGGCTGGTAGTGGCTGCCGAGCCCACGCCCGGCCCTTGCCAACACACGCCGGTGTAGGCCTGTCTGGCAGTGCTCTGCCCATACCCACGTCTAGATTGTTGGCAAGCGTTGAATCAAGCTGCCTGATTGATACTCTGTCTAGACGGCGTCACTGACAGCACTGATTTGGGACGGTAGGAAAATGCCGAGGGAGCACGTGGCGAACATCGTTGAATTCGCGCCATAGGGACGAGGCCGCTTGCTATTGTCCCACCTTCATCGATTGATCGCCTCACCCGTTGCCTTGCCTATTTCCCTCCCTGTAACCATTACCACGACCTTACTCTTCTACGCTTATAAAGGTCAAAGCTACCTTCTTGCTTCAACTCCTCGCCCTTTTTCGATACCACCAGATACCATATCGCCTGCTCATGCCCCGGGTCCCGCTCATACTTCTGCGCCTGAAGCCGAACGACACACCCCGTCTCCTTCGTATAGAGCGTACACAAGCTCTAAAACTCATTCTACACCTCTCAAGAGGTCAGATCCCGCTGAGACGCGCGACCCTTTCACCGCAACGGGGCACAAGCAGAAATACAGGGACAACGCGGCGAACATGGCAGGCCATTGGGTCGGGCCACTTCCACCTAACGCTTGGGTGAAGCGTATCATCCCCAACTACTCTGGTGATGGGCACAGCGATTTATCGTTACCGTTGCCGGAGACTATCACTGAAGAATCCATGGTGCGTGGCCGTGGTTGGGTGTCATGATATTCATCGGCTGACGCCGTCGTTCAGGCTGAATGTATCCAAGTCAGCGGAGTTTGCGGCGAGATGTTCTGCAAAGACACTCACCATGAAAACCTCGAACACCACCGAACAAGTCTCATGCGCCGGCCGGACTGTGTGGTTTGGAAGCTAGGTCCAGGCGAGAAGGGCTCGTGGCGGAAGCCCGAGATCATCATCGACGTCAAACCCGCCGCCGATGATCCCTGTGGGACCTCGGACAGCTCGCGTCGTGCGCGCGGTCAGTTCTGCGAGTATGCCCACTGCGCGTTCGAGAACAGCCACCGAACGTTCGTGGTCTGTGTTACCATCCTGAAGGATTTCACGGCGCGCTTGCTACGCTTCGACCATGCCGGAGCTTTCTATTCGGACTTGTTCTCCATCAAAGATACTACCTTTCTCGGCGACTTTTTCTTCGAGTTCTGCCGCCTATCTCCCGCTGAGCGCGGCTGGGATTGCACTGTCCGTGATGCAGCCGAGGCCGAGGCTGCAGCTGCGCGCGATATTCTCAGCGTGCGCGGGGAGGAGTCACTCCACCCAAGTATCCCCCGGGACAGTATTTTACCCACCAACAAGCCGCTTTACGTGTTCTCTGTCCCCGTGTCCAAGGGCTTTACGCACCGAGTCGTTGCTTGCGATCCGCGGACCGACACACGTGGACTTAGAGGACGGGCGACTCGAGGCTACATCGGGGTCGATCTCGACGATCGGGAGCTGGTGTGGATGAAGGACACATGGCGCATCGAGGCTGAGGGTATGGAGTCCGAGGCCGAGATCTACAAGCATCTGGCGGATCGCGGAGTCAAGGAATACCTTCCCGATTTTGCGTACGGTGGGGACCTGTTTGAGCCTAGTAGGAATGAAGACGGGGACGGGGGCCAGCAGGACGAATCGGTCGTGCAGCGGACGATGACACTGGAAGTTGCCCGGGAATACCCGGAGCTCTACTGGTCTCACGTGTCGGATAAGGAGAAGGAGAAGTGCGGCGATGCCATCCCGCTGGAGTCGCAAGTCCATCACCGTCTGGTGTTCAAGAAGATTGGGGTCGACCTTTCCGAGTTCAGGAGCACGCGAGAGCTGTGCCAAGCGGTGCGCGATGCAGTATATGGTCCGTCTCCTCTTCTCTCGGCAGCTCGTCGTGTGTGACCGTTGGATGTAGTACTTGGCGAGGCGGTCAAGAAGGCGGACATCCTACATCGAGATGTCAGCGGTGGGAACATCCTGATCGACAAGGATGGTCGGGGCTTCCTTGGCGACTTTGAATTTTCTGTTCGGCTTTCCGTCGAGGGAGCACGTCGATTTGGCCGGACTGTATTTCTTTTCCTTTATCTGGATTACGATGGGCGGATCTAACATCGACGTACAGGGCACCTGGCGATTCATGAGCATCAAGCTCCTTCAGAACCCTCTTTCCCACAAGCACACGCTAGCAGACGATCTAGAGTCGATCCTCTACGTTCTCTGGTACTATGCAATGTGCTTCCGACCGTTTGGAGACGAAATAGCTGTCCAGCGTCAGCTCCGTGCCGTTTTCGATTTCTCTACTGGTCACGGAGATGGTACATCCAAGGGCGGCCAAGGCAAGATATCTTTCTTACGGGATGGTTATTTCCCAGCGAATCTCATTTCGGAGGATGTCAAGCCGGCAGTACTTTCGGCCTTGCTGCTGAGTTTGAGAACTTTTTTCTGTCATTTATATGCCAAGCCACCGACAGAAATAGACAACCCACCTCCAATCCTTCAGGAGTGGGCCGGGCAGGAGGCGAAAGATGTGGAGGAGGCACTGATGAAGGTGAAAAAGGTGAAGGAGGCGCTGATGACAGTCGGACCCGTCCTCGGCATTTTCGACCACTACCTTCGTGATATGTCCTGGCCTTCCAACGATAAGGCGGTAGACTGGTTGCAAATCAAGGCCGTGCGTACCGGGATCAACACTTGTGTCTCTATTATATACGTGCTTGAGGACCCCTAGCCAGGGTTAGGGTTGGTTATGCTTAGACTTTTGGAAAGAGATGGCCGGTAAGCGAGTGGACGGGAACCGGCGAGTGGGAGCACGAAGGAACAGAACACACAATTGATTATTATAAGGTATATACAACTGAAATAATACG